AAATTCCTAGGGGGTTGGGGATTTTTTTCTAACAAGATAATCTTTTCTAGCCTAGATGCAAATGATGTTTCTCAGTATAGGAATAAACATACTTGGGTTGGTTTTTTTTCTTTCTCTAAGTGTGTTTAAATAGATAATTTTATATCGAAACAAATGTCTTTCAATTAGTCTAATTTCCTACCAGTGGAATAGGAAGGCAAGAAGAAAAGTGCTTCTGCTTGGTTGATCTTATCAGGATTTCATTCTGTCTTTCTAGTTTGCATGTTGATTGCTGCTCTTGGCTCGAGCAGTGCACAGACACCGTGGGCTTCCTTCAGCCTCTTCCTCCCTTTCTGCTTTTACCATACCAGATACTTCCAAAATACAGATTATTTTTTTCTGTGTATGAAAGGGAGCTGGGAAATTGTTTTGGCTCTATACAAACGTTTGTCTCTTAAGTAGGTCTGTGTTTGTGTAGCTGCTTAATCTGCTCTGTTTTATCTGCGGGTTTCATTCTTCCCTTTCATCAGGTTGTGCCTCATCTGGAAATCTTGCTCCTAAGGCATTTTCCATTAAACACCAGAAGATGTATTGCACCTCCTTGAGATCCCATGATTAATTTGCAAGACTTAGCATGTATAATTAAGTAGAGATAGCATGTTGGCAGCATATAAATGCAGGTTTTAAAGCAAGATGCAGACCTGGGCATTCCAAGCTGCTAACCTCCACTCCTGCTGGGATTTGTGCAGTATTGCAGTGCAGTGCCTTGTGTTAGGCAAAACAAGGGTGGGAGCTGGGGGTACCTTTGGAGGAACACGTATGGAAGTGGGTTTTGATCAGAAATAACACTCTTTTGTGTATGCAGTCTGACCTGATCATCACAGTGCCACGCACTGTTCCTTCACTCCTGTTCAACCTGTCCTCCTCACTTCTTTGTAATAAACCCCCTCATTTATTCCTCCACAAAATTCAGTTCCCTTCTTAACCCTAAACATGCTTCAGAGCTTTTCGTAGCCTAGTTCTATTAAGCTGATAGCCCAGCTAGTCTTGTTTAATCTCAGAACCTCCAAGCATTTACCCTATTAGGGTTTTTGAAGAACCCAAACACCAACCTTTTTCCTAAGCAATATCCCCCCAGAATTTAAGAGAAGCCCAAGAGGCTGCAAATCCTAATGGATAGAAATCTGGCAGGTAAATCTATCTGCAACATAAAGAAGCAGGGAACTGAAAAATACCCAGGGGAAGAATCCTTCCTGGAATGACACTAAAATAAGCATCTATTTGTTCCTACATAAAGCAGCTCCTGTTCTTAACGTACTATTGAACGGTGCCATTAGACGAGGTCAGTCAGGGTGAAAGCCTCTGGTCTACAGAAAATGCATTGTGTCCCCTAACCCACAGCCTTCAGAGCTCACATTTTAAGCACAAACTGCAGTTTTTTTGGTTGCCTAGAGAATATTCTTAATAGAAAGTGAGGCAACGGTTTCCGTTCCTCTTAATACTACCAGCAAAATGAGAATAACAGTGGACAAAATGGACTAGCCATGCTTTTGTGAACATTTAATCAGTGGTTTTGGATGAAGAGATATGTGGCTTTTTTTAAGCAAAGTTACCAGAAAGCAACCATGAGGTTAATCATTGAGAAGAAAAAGTAATGGCATGGATCAAGCAGCATCCCTCTCAGGGTTTTTCCCCCTTCTTCCCTGATGCTGGGTGATGTGACAGCTTCGATATGTGTAAAATTGTAGGAGCCTGTAACTGCTTATTCTGCCTTTCCTTGAAGGCAACTTTCCATGTTAGTGATGAGAGAAACATGATTTCTAGCACAGGGCAGGACTGTGGCCATCATTCACCACTGCTTCTCTGTGCATATGAAGTGTTCATCACGTGGGTGTTGGAGCAAACAGCTGGTTTTTGCTAAAGTTTTCTGTCCTGTTGATGTTTCAGCTCTCTCCTCTCTCACTGTTGCTTTCCTCCTGTCTGGAGGGCTCCCAGAAAATTAAGATGACCTAGTTGAGACCTTACTGATGAGCTGCATGAAGGGCAGATAGCACCAGGCTCTGTTAAATCATCTGGCTTGGTGTGTGCCCAGCACCTGAGGTGCTCTAGACCTGCTCACTTGCTTCTCAGAGGGCTGAGCTGCTTCACTACGTGTCTTCTGTCCTGTGTGCCATCACAGATGGGGACAGTCCTTTCAGCAGGGCAGTGACAGGACAAGAGGTGATGGCTTTAAACTCAAAGAGGGAGATTTAGACTAGAGAGAAGGAAGAGATTTTTGACACTGAGGGTGGTGAGCCCCTGGCCCAGGCTGCCCAGAGAGGTGGTCGCTGCCCCATCCCTGGAACCATTCCAGGGGAGGTTGGCCGGGGCTCTGAGCACCCTGCTCTAGCTGCAGATGTCCCTGTCCCTGCAGGGGGTTGGACCAGATCACCTTGAAAGGTCCCTTCCCACCCAAATCATTCCATGATTCCAAATGCCAATTGTGTTGTACCTTCAGGAGGTTTAGCTACCTACACCAGCTGCTTTAGGGATAAAATGCATTACAAATATTTTGGTAGTCTCAAATAAATGGTCAAATGCAGCTTGTTGAGCAGTAAACTGAGTGGCAGGCTTGGTGGTGATGGGGTCAGCACACATCAGCCCAAACATCTGGCTTTCCAGCTTAAAGCTGCATCTCTTTATTCCTCTTTATTCCCTGTCGTAAGCACTAATTCTGGGCTTATTCTCTTCACACTCCACTTTAAAATGTGCAAATTAAAACATGGTATAAAGTATTTCCAGGAGTTCAAAGCCACACTGGGGTATGGTTTTGGTGTAGTTGTTGAGGTTTGTTGCACATTTTGGATGTGCACGAGTCCCCTCTTGAATCACTGAATTTATTCCTGTTTCCAAACAGAGCAAAAAAAGATTAGTGGTGGCTCTTTCTTTATGTGCAGGGAGTTGTTTTAATTTTGATTTCTTCAGCTTTAGGAGAGTGGATTATTAATGTACGAGGAAGGCCCTGTCAGTAAATGCACTGGATACATCATGTAGCTCAAAAGTTTTCAAGCTTTCAAGCGTCCAAACCCGCTGCTGCTGCATGTTACTGGAGATGTGATGTATGACAAGACACCGTTGTTTTGCCTTTGTGCTCATGACCTCCTGTTCTCCCTAACCCTCTTTCTCTCTCTTTTTCTCTCTCTCTCTGGCCTTTTTTGTGTATTCGTTTCTTTTTAGAAACTGAGTGACTTTCCCTCCAGAGAGGATGTGGCTGCAGTGCCAGAGAGGAGCAGTGTTAACGCTGGCTTGGCGTGGGAGGGCTCAAAGCAGTCGGTAGCTTTTAGTGAGACCCCAGTGCCACCCTCCTCAGAGCCTTCCCCTGGCCGTGACTTTGGTGCTTCCTCCCTGCGCAGCGAGGAGGAGGAGGAGGAGGAGGAGGCAGCTCGCAGCCTCCCCGCGAGCGAGGAGGACCCGAGCTGTGCAAAGGGGCTTTGCGTGGATGCGGAGAAGGACTCGGAGCTCTCTGAGCCGGAGCCCCCCGCCAGCCCTGCCGCAGCTCCAGGGCAGCCCTGGGGAGCAGAGGAGGAGCTGGCAGAGCATGGAGAAGAGAGAGTGGCCTGTAGAAGGCTAAATGGCGAGTGCCACGACCCGGAGGCTAATAACGGGCTGCCCGCAGTCATTCGCTGCTTCCAGGTAGTGAGCCCTGCTCCCCGCACCCCCGGCCGGCTTGGGAGTGGGAACCCCAACCCTGCAGCAAGCAGATGCCACCGACCCCAGGGGAGCTGTGGTTGCTTGGCTTGGACTCTGCTTGGAACTCGTTAGGAAGGCTAAATGGCGAGTGCCACGACCCGGAGGCTAATAACGGGCTGCCCGCAGTCATTCGCTGCTTCCAGGTAGTGAGCCCTGCTCCCCGCACCCCCGGCCGGCTTGGGAGTGGGAACCCCAACCCTGCAGCAAGCAGATGCCACCGGCCCCAGGGGAGCTGTGGTTGCTTGGCTTGGACTCTGCTTGGAGCTCGTTAGCAGGCAGATCTGCCGCAGTCAGGGCGCACGAGCCCCTCTCCAGTCAGCTTTGCATTCAATACCGTTGCCCTTTGCCTTTCTCTGATCAGAGCGTCCCCACAAAAGGGAAATATTCAGGCTCCAAAGGCAGGTAATTTTATTTCCTTAAGTTTTTGGACCTGCTGGACCTTTAGTGCAGCAGAGCAAATTGGGAAGGGCTGTGAAACGTGCTTTTTACATGGTGCACGTGGGCTTGGATGTCCCCGTTCTGCTCCACGCCAGGGGAGACGGTTTTGCCTGCTCCAGTGTTGCTGATGGTGAAGTTGATGCCCACTTCCCCCTGCTAACAGTCACGGTGGCCTCTGCCAGGTTTGGGGTTGGTGAGCAGAAATCAAGCCCTCTGGGAAAACACGGTGGGCCTGCTCTAACTCTGTCTTCTTCTGGATGATTAGGAGGTGGTGGAACAACTGATTTCTCTTCCCCCCGTTTCTCTTTCGAGATCCGTGTTTCTGTTTTGTCTGACATTGATTTAATAAAAGTTAAAAGACCCAGGATCTGGTGAGGATTTTCTAATAATAGTGTTTCACTTGCAGTCAGGATAAAGCTTCTCAGCTGTGATCAGGTCTTTATTTGCCCGGGGTTTGTGTTAATCTTGGCATTGTCATCAGTAGATGAGGGTCATCTTTTACCGGCAGCTGGCAATGAGCTTGGAGTAATTAGAAAGTTAAGAATCACTGGAGGCAGTCTCTGTGTGGTGTTGTGACACACCAGTTAAACCCTTCATGCCTCTCTTGGGCTGACCTGAGGACATGGCGTTGGGGAAGATCTGGAGGATTTTCATGTCTGTTTAATCCTCCTGCATGATCTCTGTCCTCTGAGCGGCGTCTCGTACCAGAGGCTTCAAACCAAAGATTTCCAGGCTGCCCTTGGTTCTCACGGTGCTTTTATCAGATCAGTGTCAGAACGCTTGCCAGCAGCACGGCCAGGGTGTGGAAATGTTCACTGGGTCTTCATGGAGATGTTTTTAACCCTGTCCCCTAGCCACCACTAGTGAAGACACAGACGGTCACCATCTCCGACGTGTCCAGCGCTGTCAAAAGTGAAATCCCCACAAAAGAAGTCCCCATTGTCCACACGGAGACAAAGACCATCACCTATGAAGCTGCACAGGTAAGGTGTGTTCTGATTCATTTTCCAGGGGCTTCATTAAACTCCAGTAAATTTTCATTTCTGAATCCCCTGGATGAGACAGCAGCACCTGCCTTTCTCCAAGCATCCGAGCCACAGCACAGACGTTATGCAGTGTTATGGGTTGTCTTTCCAGGTGCCTCTGGTATTTTTAGAGGAGCAGTGGGTTTGCTAACTCAGAAAAGCAATTATTTTATCTAGGATGCAAGCAGAATTTCTCTTCAGCCACTGGTGGCTTTGGGATGTAGATTAGACTGTGCAGAGTTAACCCAAGTTGGCCTTTTTTCTGTAAGAGATGCCTAGTCTTGCTTTCCCTGGCTCTCCTTGCTGTTTCTGCCTCTTCAGAACACGGTTTATAAATGATTTTGAAAATGTCCATGGATTGTCCTGTAGGTTTCAGCCCTGAAACAGGCATTGAAAACCAAAAATAGTGCATAAAATGCAACCAGAGTAGGTACCTGGTGACTGGAAACTAGAATTGTCAGCAGAACAATAGCATCGTATGCAGGTTAAAATTAATCCTCAGTTTAAAATAGGTTTTGGGTTTGTATCTGAGAATGTGGAGCCTTTGTTGGCTTTGGGTTTGTCATAATGGTGGCTGTTAGAAGCAGGGGATGCTCTCCTGTTGGAGTGTGGTGACCATGGGATGTAGGTTCAGGTGCAGGTATCTTGTGGACCACACTTGTGGAAGTTCTTCACTCTGAGGGTGGTGAGACCCTGGCCCAGGTTGCCCAGGGAAGCTGTGGATGCTCCATCCCTGGATATGTTCAAAGCCAGGTTGGATGGGGCTTTGAGCAACCTGGTCTAGTGGGAGGTGACCCTGCCCATGGCAGGGGGGTTGGAACGAGATGATCCCTAAGGTCCTTTCCAACCCAAACCCTTCTATGATTCTGTGATGAATTTGGGATTCCCGAGGAATCCCATGGCTGCTCCTTATCCTCCCTGGTTGTGGGATTTTGGGGGGCTTTCAGGGCTGCACTGGGTGGGGGTGAGCATCACCCTGCTCCTCACAGCGAGTAGATGAATGGAGCAGTTCTGCTCCTGTCTCTGCTGTTACCAGTTCAAAATGGGAAATGGAAAGGGACAAGTGTGTCTGTGGGGCTGGGAGGAGTCTGCTGGGTGTGCGCCGGGTTGTGAGATGCTGGGAGATCTCTCACAGGCTGTGGAAAACGGTCCCACCTTGTGGTAGATCCAGATATTGTCCCACCGCCGTGCTGGGGATGCTGCCCAGCGTTCCTGGTCAGAGCTGCACTGGGAGACCTGGATGAGTTGGCACAGGGGGCTCGTTTCAGGTTTTTCAGCACACCTTGAAAGGTTGAGTCGTGCAGGATGGGAAGGATCAAATAACCAGCTCTGAGAGAAGTTGTTCC